TGACAGATCTACGTCATGATTAAGAAGGACTAGGGTGAACTTCAAGCACTGCATTGACAGATCTACGTCATGATTAAGAAGGACTAGGGTGAACTTCAAGCACTGAATTGACAGATCTACGTCATGATTAAGAAGGACTAGGGTGAACTTCAAGCACTGACAGATCTATGTCATCATAACGAAGAACAAGATGAACATCAAGCACTGCACTGAAAGATCTATGTCATCATAAAGAAGGACTATGGTGAACTTCAAGCACTGACAGATCTATATGATTGTGAAGAAGGACTACAGTGAACTTCAAGAACTGGCAAATCTATTTTTTTTGCTAAAATTATATTAAATAATTAATCACGTAGATCACGTGGTAACAAAAAACAACGTTTTATATTTACACAATAAAAACTTTATTGAAGCCGTACGGCTTCCACTTTAAAATATCTCTACAAGTACAAGTCGAGATTAATGCTTTATTGTACATTACAGTTATGAACATAATTCCAATGACTCTTTTATTTTCTTCCTTTCTTCAAATATGAATGAAGAAAATAGTTGAAGTAAAATTTAAAAGAATGACATGTTTTATTTTTTTACAAGATTACATGAGTTGATATTCATATCAACAGCAGAAGATTATTTGTTTATAAATTTTGCATAGCAGCAATTGTTATAACTTTGTGCAACAGTTGAGAAATATTTTTATAGCACTGCATTGCGTAACAGTTGAGAAATATTTTCACAGCAGTGCACCAGCACGTGGTTAACAGTGCTTACAATCCAGAAAAAAATATTGCACCAAATTTCTTGAATTTTTAGAAAAATCTTCAAAAGACATTGTTTTGTAAAAATCATATTTTAATACTATACTGGTTTTTTGTGAATTCTTAACTTTATACAGTTTATTTCCTCATGAGACATACTAGTGTAATCAATTTTTATATGGAAATACATCTTTATCTTCCAAAACAGAGATCAGACCTTGTTCTAATATATAGAAACAAATGCCATAATTTAGGCCTAACTACTTAAAGCATGCTCTTTATCCAAAAGTATTGTTACTAAACTGAATGCTACTTACATATGAACTTTATAAAGGATAGTGCTGATATAGACCATGAAGTGCAGTGTTACATTATTCCCAGCAACAGTATTTTGTAAAACGTTGTACATTTCTAGGTTTTCTGTGGCTCTTCAAGTATCTAAAAAGTTTGTTATACGTCTCAGCTGTAAAAATGAGTCATAATTTTAATGAAACTGCTAGTAGCTATGAGAAACGTCCTAGCTTGAACTGTAATTCTACAAATTTTTTTCCACTATACTGACTACAGGATATGTGACACAAACATAAAAACTTTAAAGGCAGTTTAACCCTTTCGAGATGGGTCACGGGTGAAAGGCCATGTCATTTCGTTTGTTGACTTGCATTCACAATTTTATTTAAGCACTATTTCGTGAATTTATGCCAATAAGTTTGGTATTAAACTGTAGATTATAATTCAAATGTTAGGACTATTTATTACTCAATTTCTTAGTGCACGTGAGCCTCATCATTGTAACTTCTCAATATCCACTACCGGCACTCGTGTTTAAAGTTTTTTTTGCTAAAATTATAATAAATAATTAATTAAAAAGTAGAATCCAACACAGCACTTAATAACTCCT